AGTAATTATTGCCTTAACCCAAGGCTAATTAACTCTTCCGTTTAAAATCCAAAACTGACTTCATTTATTTTTATCTGCGGCAAAGCCGTCAAATTTTAAATGTATAGATTTTCCTAACTATATATAGTAGACTCTAAATACACGCATAACTACTGGCTACCCAGCGATATACTGTATTCTTATCTGGGTGCAGTCACACCATGCCCATCTCGTGTGACACACACACCTGTCACCAGGGTACTTGTAACCCCGTTACACTCCCCCCATTAAGATTGAGAACATTTACAGTTCCAATCGGTATTGCCTCAACGAGGCTTGCGTGTCCGCTAGACACTGCAACGTGGTTCGTTGGAACAAAACAAATTCCGTGCTCAATGAGCCCTTTGTCAACGACACAGAAGTCACCAAGTCTCGCTGGTTCTGACAGCGAGCACGGGCATAGCCCAACTTCGTCTCCCGCACGCGTTGCAATGTCGGACAGTGCGTCCGCGGTATCGAGGGATGTGCATCCTAGGCTCGATGAGCACGAGCGTCGCGCTCCGCGCACGCTATCAGCGACGAGTGACCTCGTTGAGAATGTGGGGATGTCGACTACGAGTCTGACACTCCTTTTCCCGCATGGGATGACGAGGATGGCGAGCTGCGCCAGCGACGTGATACGAGCTCTGCTCTCGCCTTGCGGATACCATGTCCGTTTCCTGACTTCTCGTCTCCTGAGGTACGTGGTGTAATCACCAATGACCTCGACAGGGTACAGAAGCGTTAGCTGGAAGCTTTCCTCACTGTATAACTTACAGTTGAGCCACAAGAAAGTGGACGTGCGGATGGAGCGACACCTCCGATTTGAGTTTACCAAAATCAAAGCACGCCGTCGACTTCCTTTGGATTGTCGCCCTGCGGCGTATGGATCAACCCCTAATGCTTCCGCGAGCTCTGTGTCTGCGTCCGCAAGAGCTCAGGGCCACTGCTTGAGCTCAGCTCATAGCCCTTCTACTTCCCTGGATATGGCTGGGAAGCGCGGGGCGTCTGATGACGCGAAGCGTCCTGATCTTTCTGATCAAAAGCGTTCACGGCGTCTGGGCAGTCTTGCCGAAGTGGCGCCTCAAACTCCCACAAGTTTTCGGAGTCGGGATATCCGCGCCAATTAA